ATGGCTCTCCTCCCAAGAAGGAAGCGTCTTCTGATTTCCTGGCTACAGTCTGCATCTGCAGTCATCTTTGCACCTAGAAATACAAAGTCTGTCACGGCCTCCACGGTTTCTCCCTCTATTTCCCAGTTGTCAATCATTCTTGTTGCCATAATCTTGGTTTTTTTGACGTTTAGCTGCAACCCGGCTTTTGCGCTTTCTTCTTTCACCTTGATTAGACGGCTCCTCAGCTCCTCCTCGCTTTCGGCCATCAGAGTGGTGTCATCTGCATATCTGAGGTTGTTAATGTTTCTTCCAGCAATTTTCACCCCAGCTTTGCATTCATCAAGCCCCGCACATCGCATGATGTGTTCTGCATACAAGTTAAAAAGGTTGGGTGAGAGTATGCAGCCTTGCCGTACGCCTTTCCCAATCTTGAACCAGTCTGTTGTTCCGTGGTCAGTTCTGACTGTTGCTACTTGGCCCTTGTACAGATTCCTCAGGAGAGAGACAAGGTGGCTTGGTATGACCATCCCACCAAGAACTTGCCACAATTTATTATGATCCACACAGTCAAAGGCTTTAGAATAGTCAATGAAGCAGAAGTAGATGTTTTTCTGAAACTCCCTGCCTTTCTCCATTATCCAGCGGATATTGGCAATCTGGTCTCTCGTTCCTCTGACCTTTTCTAAACCCAGCTTGAACATCTGGCAACTCTCGCTCCATGTATTGCTGGAGTCTTCCTTGCAGGATCTGGAGCATTACCTTACTGGCATGAGAAATAAGGGCCACTGTATGGAAGTTTGAGCAGTCTTTCGCATTTCCCTTTTTTGGTATGGGGATATAAGTTGATTTTTTCAGTCTGATGGCCATTCTTGTGTTTTCCATATTTGCTGGCATATGGCATGCATCACCTTGACAGCATCATCTTTTAAGATTTTAAACAGTTCAGCTGGGATGCCGTCGTCTCCTGCTGCCTTGTTGTTAGCAATGCTTCTTAAGGCCCATTCAACCTCACTCCTCAGGATGTCTGGTTCTAATTCATTCACCACACTGTCAAAACTATCCCCGATATTATTATCCTTCCTATACAGATCTTCTGTATAGTCTCGCCACCTTCTCTTGATCTCTTCAGCTTCTGTTAGGTCCCTGCCATCTTTGTTTCTTATCATACCAATTTTTGCCTGAAATTTACCTCCAATGTTTCTAATTTTCTGGAAGAGGTCTCTTGTCCTTCCTATCTGTTGTCTTCTTCCACTTCCATGCATTGCTTATTTAAAAATAGTTCCTTATCTCTTCTGGCTAACCTCTGGAATTGCGCATTTAACTGGGCATATCTTCCCTTTTCACTGTTTCCTTTTGCTTTCCTCCTTTCTTGGGCTACTTCCAGTGTCTCAGCAGACAACCATTTTGCCTTCTTCATTTTCTTTTTCTTTGGGACGTACTTTGTTGCCGCCTCCTGAACAATGTCGCGGACTTCTGTCCATAGTTCTTCTGGGACTCTGTTTACTAAATCTAGTCCTTCAAATCTGTTCTTCACTTCCACTGTATATTCGCTAGGAATGTTAGTGAGATCATATCTAACTGGTCTGTGTATTTTCCCTGATCTCTTTAGTTTTATTTTAAATTGAGCAATAAGAAGTTCGTGATCTGAGCTACAGTCAGCCCCAGGTCTTGTTTTCACCGACTGGATGGATGTCCGCCACCTTTGGCTGCAAAGGATGTAGTCAATCTGATTTCGGTGCTGACCATCTGGTGAAGTCCATGTGTAAAGCCGTCTTTTAGGTTGTTGGAAGAGAGTATTCGTTATACACAGCGAGTTTTCCTGGCAAAATTCTATCAGCCTGCGTCCCGCTTCATTTTGTTCTCCCAGACCATGCTTGCCTGTGATCCCAGTTGTCATTTGACTTCCCACCTTGGCATTCCAGTCTCCTGTAATGGAAATAATGTCTCTTTTTGGTGTATTATCCAGTAGGTCCTGCAGATCCTCATAGAACTGATCTACTTCTGCTTCTTCAGCAGCTGTGGTTGGGGCATATATTTGGATCACTGTGATGTTGAAAGGCTTTCCTTGCACTCGAATTGAGATCATTCTGTCATTTTTTGGGTTGTATCCAAGCACCGCTTTAGCGAATTTCTTATTAATTATGAAGGCTACTCCATTTCTTCGACGTTCCTCTTGTCCGCAGTAGTAGATCTGGTGGTCATCTGATGTGAAGTGGCCCATTCCAGTCCATTTCAGTTCGCTGACCCCCAGAATGTCTATCTTTAGTCTTGACATCTCACCAATAACAACATCCAATTTGCCCTGGCTCATAGATCTTACACTCCAGCAAAGGATCACCGCCTTGTTGTGGCGCTGGAGCTTGAGCACCTCAATGATGTCATGAGCGAAACCGTGAAGGGCCACCCAAGACGGGACGGTTGTGGCAGAGAGGTCAGACCAAGCGTGATCCCTGGGGAAGGCAATGGCAAACCACTCCAGTATCCTTGCCAAGAAAACTAAATGGACCAGTAAACCAGAGATATGTCGGTATGCCATTGGAAGATGGGACTCCCAGGTCGGAAGATGGCCAAAATGCTACTGGGGAGGAGCAGAGGATAAGTTCAACTAGACCCAGATGTGATGACGCAGCTAGCTCAAAGCCGAAAGGAAGGCTAGCGGCCGACGGTACTGGAGGTGAACGACGAATCCGATGCTCTAAAGATCAACACACCATAGGAACCTGGAATGTAAGATATTTAGGATAGCACACATTAAATAGAAGGAGCATTCATTTGCAGAAGGGCTTTACCCCATTAGAATGATGCTGGATCCAAGAATGAAAGCATTTTTTCCATTTATGCAGCAAATGAATGTAACTCTTTGGCTGGCATATATTTTTTTGGTGGGTGTCAGACACCTGGACACTCTAACCCCCTCTCCAAAAGACCCCAAAACCAGTGTGAAAAAAACAAAAGAACTTACCTGGCTTCCATTAGAGGGCTGCCAGATCGCTCCTAGCGCATACAAATGATGCGCCAGGAGAAAGGGAGAGCAGGAGCGATTTTCCTACCCCACTCCCACCCCGCTTTTGTCTTGGCGCATCATTTGTACACACCAGGAGAGCTCCAGCAGCCCTCCAATGGAATCCAGGTAAGTTCTTTTGTTTTTTTACACTGGATTTGGGGTCTTTTGGGAAGGGGTTGGTATTCTCAGTTTTCCGGGCTAATTTAGCGAGAAAACCATGAGAATACTGTCTGGACTGCAGTCCAGACACTGGAAGTAGTAGGTTTATTCTGCGCCTTCCAAGAAGGTGCGGAATAAACTCACTAACAAATTAATTTGCCACAGATTAATTTGGGTTTGTCCAGGACGTTATCTAGACAGCCCCCTTTTTATTGCGGTAACCCCCGCAATAAAGGGGCTGTCTAGATGTGCCCTTAGAAGCAAGGTATCTTCACAAGAGCAAAATAATGCAAGTGATGTGTCAAGGAAGCGTTGAAACCTATACTATGGGACCTTGTTACCTGCTTGATACTTAAGCCCTGTTATATACAGTGGCATAGTAAAATGCTGTCCATTATATAAAATGGCAGAATCAAGATTTATTTTTTGGATTTTTAAAAATACTTTTAACCATGGATGGTTGAATCTGTGGATAAAGGAAAGCCAATTGTAAGACCTTTATGAAATGTTACCATGAATATACTTAACTAAGTAGCAAAGCCTGGATCATCATTGGGAGCAAGTGTGATGGGGTGGTTTGAGCATTGGACTGGGAGTTTGGAGCCCAGAATTTGAATCCCCCTGGGCATAGAAACCCACTGGGTGACATTTGGCAAATTGCACTCCCTCAGCCTCGGAGGCTGGATCTGCACTGCCCTATATCCCAGGATCTGATCCCAGATTATCTGCTTATCCCAGATCCTCAGGCCTCACAACCTCTGAGGATGCTTGCCATAGATGCAGGCGAAATGTCAGGAGAGAATGCCTTTAGAACATGGCCATATTGCCCGGGAAAAACCTACAACAACCCAGTGATTCCAGCCATGAAAGCCTTCAACAATACATTATCCCAGATTATCTGACAGTGCAGACTCATATAATCCAGTTCAAAGCAGATAATTTGGAATCAGATCCTGGGATATAGGGCAGTGTAGATCCAGCCTGAGGAAGGCAAAGGCAAGCCATCTCTGAACAAATCTTCCCCATGCATGCCTTGAAAAGAACAGCTTTGTGATTGTTTTAGTTTGCAGCAATGATGGGGAAATGATTATTTTAGTTTGCAGCAATGATGGGGAAAATCCCAGAATTTCCCAGGACTGGCCAGAGCTGCTGGTAATTGCAGTTCAAGAACATCTGGAGAACATGCTTCCCACCCCTAATTAATAAAATATGCCTACAGGCAACATGTGGACAGGAGAAGAAATAAAAGAAATTCTCCAGAATAACTTCCAGAGCAGTCTATTTAAGACTACTTAAGCAGTCCACTATTTGCTTTCATTGTGCTGATGAAGACAATCATATTGCAGTGTTATATAATGCCTTATAGTAGGTTAGTTATATCATGTTTAAATGCCCAGCTATTTTTTTTTTACGTCAGTTACTGGCAACGCGAAAGAGAGAACATTCAGCATGTTTTAAAAGTTCAGAAAGTAGTGTCCATGGCATTAAGCATACAGAACAACATCTTATTTCTGGCCGAAGTGATTTAGACTTTCTGCATGGCATAGACAGCATATCCTCAAGCTCTTTCAGTCCAAGAAGTGTATTTCTCATCCCTTTGGGTTTAAACACATTCGGAACCCATTGCCATTCGTCACAATGGTTGTAATCAGTCTCCAGGTTGAAGCAGCTAGCACATCCATGTCTTGGTTGTAGTTTCTCAGATGTACTGCATTGGCCTGGCCTTTACGAAACAGGATGCTGGGATTATTTAAGTTTTTGGTTTGGCCAAGCTGGGCTCTCACGTTGATAGAAGTTCCTGGATTTGACATTATCCTACCAGAGGCATGAGCCGAATATCAAGGAAGACAGACACTTGTCTCACTGTTAAGCAAGTATTTATTTCATTTAATTTTAATGTATTTATTGCACTTCAATATTAGACAAAAAATAAACTCTCTCTCTATCTCTTTCTTTCTTGTCGGTATCTTTTGCGAGTCTTTTTGACCCCCAGCAGCAGCAGCAACAGCAGCAAATAAAACTCTTTCTATTTTCCCTTTGCAGCAAATATACTCCGGTTTAAGGAGGTAACTCTCTGTTATAAACATACTTTTTTTCTTCTTCTAGACTTCTAAGAAAAGTGCAACGTCTGGTTTTATTGAAAAGCAGTGTTGAACAGCAGCAACAGTGTCCCTCCCACCCTGCAGAGAACACAAATACACCCCGTATCATGCAACACAGGAGGGTGATCGAAACGTGCTATGAGAGCTCCTGTAATTGGGATGAAAAACCCTGATATGTACCAATGCAGAGAACAGGACTGGCTGACCACAGCCAAAATGGAAAAGTGGGGGTGGGGTTTCTATTGGGCAGAAAAGGGGAGTCCAGGCCCCCTTTTTTGGTCACCTACTTTAACAGACTTCCCCCTCTGCCCCATAATGACAGCTGAGAAAACCAGTTCTTGATATTTTTGGATCAACAAAACTGTATGCAATCCATGTTTCTGCAAATCCATCATCCTCCATGTGTGGAATCTGGAATTAGCAGCTTTAATTTTTGAAGCAAGTTGATAGCATTTGTGGCCAAGGGGGAGAAATCTTTTGAAAGTTGGCCGTTGCGAAGGAAAATCCCAGGTCCCAAACTGCACAGGATGATGACAATAGCCATTTCCTGCCAACCCCCTTTCAAAAAGTGTGCCACAGAAATGAGAAGAATATAGTTTAAAGTGCTACAAGGGCACACAATGAGAAGTGGTGTGCCCACACCACAATGCCTACCATTTTCCTCTCCACCGCTCTTTCCCCCAGGCACTTTTTTCTCAGCTGGTATTGGAGGAGCCTGGAGGTTGGGGGAAATGAACTGCGGAGTGAAGACTGGTAAGTGAGTGAGGGCTCGGTATTCCACACACCACTTTCCCATCTGGCCTGGTGGTGCTCTAAATCACGTGTACACTTTACACATGGATCTGCCACCCTCATGTGCATTTTGGGGGTGGGAAGTTCTGATGAGGACAGAGATGTTTCCAGAGATCCACAGAAAGTGTTCCAGTGTCCTGTGCCTCCCAAGTAGAAGCAGAATAAATTGGGCAGAGTAAAAGAAAGTATCAGCTTCAATTTGCATAAGTCATCCAGATCATACAGATTTAGGCATTTCATGGCACAGAAATCTGGGTTGCTTTTCAGAAAAATATTATTTAATTATAAAGTGCGCAGAACACACAGCCCCAAGAATGAGGAAGAAGCTGGAATGAGTCATTCCAAGGTTACTCTCTATCCCCTTCTAAGGAAGGCAATCTATTAATTATGACAAAAGAGTAATCAGCCAAAAGTCTGGAATTATATTTGGAACTCTGGAATTAAAGATGGGGTTGAATGTGATCAAAGGCAGCTTGGAAACAGCCAGGACTCAGGGGGTTTATGCCCTGTCCTAGAAGGGGACGAGATCTAGAGGTCAGGATGGGATGCTGAGTATTAGGACCCTGGGAGAGAGCACTCATAGCTTCATCCTTCATGAAAAGGAAAAGCACCATTGCCTGGAAGAAACCAGTATGGTTGGGCAGGACGGCATTAGAGTATTTGCTTAGCCCTTTCTTCCTAATGGCTGAACAAACTGTTGCTCATTTCTCTTAAAACTTTCTTGGCATGGAAAGAACCTGGATGATCCAAAGCTTGGATCCAAACAAACAACGGCTCTCCTCCTCCTTTTGAGAAGCTGCCCTCCAATCCTACTAAGCATCTCCGCATCCTTGCTCCACTTCCAGCCGGGACAGCATGTCGCAGCCATCTCAGAGAGTGTAACTCTACCTACAAACTGGTGGAAGCCCCTTGTGTGTTTTGTTTGAAACATTTACAAAATATAAATATATATCTACTATATATGCTATATCAATAATAGACACTCACATCAGACAAGACAAAAAAAAGGACTGTGGCCCCACTTAGTCAGAGTTGGAGGTGGAAAACTGGCCCAAGTAGTTCTACTTCACATCCGAATATAACACCTACCCAGCAAAATTTGCAGTATATATTAAATGTCTCTTAAGATAAAGTTTTAGCACCTAGCCCATGTGAACTTATCCCTTCTTCAGGAAAAAATCACCAAAGGGAACAGAGGCTTCAGGAAAGAAAGAAAGAAAAAGGAAACTTGGAAACATGGTGCTGTTGGTAGCATGCGGATTAAGGAAGGAAACTAAGCTTCAATAATTGCCTCATCAAGATGGCCTGCATTTTCCTGTCCTTGAGAGCTACCATTGCTAATTATTATGTACAGTATGCCTGGTATCCTTATATACAGAATACAACATCAACAAGTTCGTATGGAAAGGAAGATATATATGTACACACACAGTTAGAAACAACACAGTACTTGTGTCCAGTTCATTTGTTTGATCTCCTCTAGCAAAGAAATGATCTTCAATCCACACAGTGCCACGGAGAGCGCTATCTGGGAAACGCAGACCCTTCCTCCTGCATCTGATCTCCTCACCAGGGAGGGATCTGCTCTAGCAGAACCCAACTGCAATGGGCTATCGGCTTTCCACCGTTGCCGGATCCCTTCTGTTCTTCTTCTGTCATCATCGCAATCTTCTTGCAAGAGCAAAATGTAGTCCCAATGCATTCAATTTGCTTGATGGTTGATTTTCACCTCTCTTCCCCCAAATCGCTTAGGGATTAAGTAACTGGTCCAGTGGGCTTAAGGGTTGATCCGGAAGGCAAGGAGTTTCTCAGAATGCTGGTTGTTGAGGGTTCTCAGGTCAGGAAGACGAAGAAGCAGCTTGGGGAAGAGTGTGGAGTCATCTGGGTGCTTCTTGGTTACTAGAGTTCTCAAGGCCCGGATTAAAGTCTCCTGGAGGATTTCAACGGCATCTACATCAGAGATGCCAGAACGATCTGCAGACCAAAACAAAGATGTTAAAACTGACGGAAACAGCACATAGAGAACAGAGAGCTTTTCTGAGAGTTTACTTCAACAGGGGATTAAAGTAGGCACAGCATTTGTCTGAGTACTATATTCAAGAGACATCATGACATTATAAGGCACCCCGGGTGACACAATGGGTTAAACCCTTATGCTGGCAGGACTGCTGACTAAAAGGTCGGCAGTTCGAATCCAGGGAGCGAGGTGAGCTCCTATCTGTCAGCTTCAGCTTCTCATGCGGGGACATGAGAGAAGCCTCCCACAGGATGGCAAACTATCCAAGTATCCCGGGGCAACATCCTTGCAGACGGCCAATTCTCTCACATCAGAAGCGACTTGCAGTTTCTCAAGTCACTCCTGACGCGAAGAAAAAAATGACATTATAATGCTGATATAAAATGCAACTAAATACTAAAAACAAGAAAATTTAGTGCCACACTTAATCCTAAATTTCAAACCAAGAAAAAGTGGAATGTGCAAGCTGTAAACATTATTCAAGTTAAGAAGATCTGCATCACTTCTTGTGTGAGAGAACTGGCTGTCTGCAAGGACGTTGTCCAGGGGATGCCCGGATGTTTTGATGTTTTACCATCCTTGTGGAAGGCTTCTCTCATGTCCCGGCATGGGGAGCTGGAGCTGACAAAGGGAGCTCATCCGCATTCTCCCTGGATTCGAACCTCCCTAGGTCTAAAATGGGACCAGGAGGACTTGAAAATGGCCAATCTTATCTCTGCTCCAATGGAATTTTCAGAAATTCTTATCAAAGCTAAGTTGTGTTACCCCTTCCCCCAAAAATCCAGGTCTTAGTTATAGTGCCATGGTAAAGACCACCAGACTCACCAGCTGAGACAAGGACCACAGCCATGAAGAGTGCCATTTCTTGTGCATCTAAGCCTAGGGAACTGAGTTTCTCGCTGAACTCAAACATGGCATCCAGCAGGGAGCCCATGCCCATGGTACGCAGGCTGCAGAGTGAGTACGTCTCCCCACTCAAAAAGGTCACCACTTTCTCCTTGGGACTAAATAGAGAAGAGAAGCGCACCATCAGCACCTGGAGAGGGAACAAAGAGGAAAAGATGAGGCTCTGCCACTTCTTTAAAGTAAGGCTGCAATATTTGCGCAATGATCACAGAAAATGAAATAAAAGCCCTCTGCCTCAAGTAATTCGTGGCTAAGCTATGGCTAAGGCAACAATGCTGAAAATTTCATCAAAGGCAACAATGCTGAAAATTTTCATATGGGGGATCAAATCTCCCCAGTGCTGTAGCTATTAGGGGAGAGAAAATGAGGGTATTGCCAATGAGAATTAGAATTCTGTGTTGTTGAAAGCTTTCACGGCCGGAATCACTGGGTTGTTGTAGATTTTTTGGGCTGTATGGCCATGTTCTAATAGCATTCTCTCCTGATGTTTCGCCTGCATCTATGGCAGGCATCCTCAGAGGTTGTGAGGATACTCGCCTGACCTCACAACTTCGAGGATGCCTGCCATAGGTGCAAGCAAAACATCAGGAGAGAATTGTTCTAGAACAGAGGTCCTCAAACTTTTTAAACAGAGGGCCAGGTCACAGTCCCTCAAACTGTTGGAGGGCCGGATTATAATTTGAAAAAAAACATGAATAAATTCCTATGCATACTGCACATATCTTATTTTTAGTGCAAAAAGAAAATAAACACTTTAAAACAATACAATAATTAACATGAAGAACCATTTTAAAAAATATAAGCTTATTAGTATTTCAATGGGAAGTGTGGGCCTGCTTTTGGCTGATGAGATAGGATTGTTGTTGCTGTTGTGTGCTTTCAAGTCATTTCAGACTTAGGTTGACCCTGAGCGAGGGCTGCGTAAATGACCTTGGAGGGCCGTATCCAGTCCTCGGGCCTTAGTTTGAGGACCCCTGTTCTAGAACATAGCCATACAGCCCGAAAAACCTACAACAGCCCAATTAGAATAAATAAATAAATAAAATTTTCCTTCACTACCCACATTTCTAGTATTGTAGGGAATGAGGTACTGAAAATCATTAACAATTACAACTCTTGCATTTGCTGTGTTCTTTTGTTAACTTTGCCTGTTTCCATTTTTTTCATATCTAACCTGTATCTATAAATGCTCAACTGAGGCATAATGTTTCTTGTAATGCTAAAAGGAAAATGGAATCAGGGATGGGCAGAATTCTTATTTGAATGGCAATGCCTTCATTTTGTCACACACATGTTCTAGCTACTGTCTCTAGCAATGGTGATTGTGGGAGAAAGGCTGCCCAAAAAAACGGTGCCTTTTGCTCTCTCTGCCCCCCTCCCCACAATTCTGCCCCCAACCTGAAAACGTCTCAATAAAAGTCAATCTTGACCTAAGAGCAGATCACAGCTCAACTCGATCTGCATAATTTATTCTTGTGCAGAATTTAGGTTGCCCCAGTAAAGAATGCATTCTGGCTCTCTCCACGAGGAACACGCAGCAAGAGCAACTGACCTGGAAAGTGCCTGCTTTGAGCAGCATAACTTGGTCCTGCTGGCAGAGCGACTGGAAGCCTGGGATGCTCTTGGCAAACTCCACCACCTCCTTGACAGCTGGCGTGAAGCACTGCGAAAACTCCTCCCACACTTGCTGACTGCTCTTGCCATTGCTACAGTAGGGGGTGGCATTCAGAGGACAGGCCTGCATCACAACAAAAAAGGGAGAGGGAAGGAAAGTTGGGTCAAGCCAAAACTGTACACAACAGGCCTATTCTATTATGATATTTAGCCATTTACTTTATAGAATGTTCTGTTCCCTCACTTGCATGAGGTCTAGTCTGCATAATCAAAAACACAAACTACTTCAAAACTTGTGTGTGTTAAGTTGTTTTAATAAGTACGAAGGTATAAATACTGGAGTGGTATAATAAGGTAAGGCTGGGAAGCACACAAGTGTTTAAAAATAATCCTTTCTGTCTGCCCATTCTGAACACAATCCTCTGTCAACCCATTATTTTCTCCCCCTATGGGGTTACTCCCAAAAATCCTACAGGGAAGGAAAACAGCTTTTTATAAGTGGTTTGAATGATAAACAGAATTTTCTGCAAACTCTAGCATTAATTTGCTAGCATCACAACCAATCTAGAAACAATTAAGTGTCTAAGAATATGCCACAAAAAGTGCTCAGAACATATAGTTAGTTTCAAACTTTAAAAAAAACTATACCAGACTCAGTGAGTTAAACTTCTGAGCTGTTGAACTTTCTGACTGAAAGGTCGGCAGTTTGAATCCAGGGAGCGGGATGCTAGCCCCAGCTTCTGCCCACGTAGCAGTTCAAAAACATGCACATGTGAGTTAGGTACTGCTTCCGTGGGAAGGTAATGATGCTCCATGCAGTCATGCCAGTCATATGATCTAGGAGGCATCTACGGACAATGCCGGCTCTTCGGCTTAGATATTGAGATGAGCACCACCTCCCAGAGTTGGACTCAACTAGATTTAATGTCAAGGGGAAACTTTTACCTTTACCTTTTATAACTAACTCTAAGGACAAATATATATATATATCTTAGAGGGTGTAATGTTCACTGTTAGAAGTAATGTTCACCGTTAACTGTTGTCTTACTTTTCATTTTCCTTTGTAGAAACTAGGACAAACTGGCTTTAAACCATCAATGGCTATTTTACTCTAGTACTATATGGCAGCTGTTCTTGTCTGATAAGGTAACCCACTGTGTTGAGGAATGTGCTGCCTGATCGGTACCAGACAGGAGTGGTGAGTACTGCACCAAGTATTAGTAAATATAATTGTAAGATGAAAACCTGAAGCAGTTAGCTCTAGCCAAGCAGCAGAGCAAGGTGGGAATAAGGTGTAAGAATTCAGAGGCAACAGAACGGATGGTATCAGTTTTGACTGGAATAAGGGAACACATTTCTATCTAGATAACAAAACAAAACAGAATTTCCCTGAAGGTATAAAGAACTAGTAGAGCAGGAAACAGGATGGAGGAGATGGATTTGCCCACATAAGACAAGATTATTTTCTGCTTGCAGTCATGTTAACAGAAAGAACCACTCAGAATGTGTCCTTTCATCTCCAGTGGTACAATTATCATATTATGATATCAGAGCCTGATCGCTTTATCCGATATATCAGCAGCACTTCTGGGTCAAGGAATTATGGTGATGTCAAGATAGCATTTCTGTATTGAACCAAGCTGAAGAAGATGCTGGGCAGAACTGCAGGTTCATGGTTGGGAAAGGCATACTATATCCCTGAATATTACTGGTTTGATCCAAATGTGTGGTATTGAAAATTATCTGGAAGCCTAACATTTAAATCAGTGGTTCCCAACTTGTGGTCCGTGGACTACCAGTGGCCACAAGAACTAAAGTATTGCCGTGGACTCACTGTTACTACACCACTGCAATGAGAGTGACTGGTCTCGCAAACCCCTCTTATAGTGCCAAGGCTTAGTAAATATGGTTTTCTGTGGGCAAGCAGATGGCGACTACAGGGTGGCATATGTTCTGTATCAGAAACTAGAGCTGATATGGTCTATCCAATGCAATTTTCTGAATCAGCACCCCAAATAACCAAACCAAATCTAAAGTTGACCAAAAACTGATTTGTAACCCTTTTGGTACTAATGTTGGAGAGTGGTCCCTCATCAAAGTGGTCCCTGGTCAAAAAAAGGCCAGGAACTACTGATTTAAATGCTGCATTTATTATTCATCCTTTGGGCTCATGAATTGGTTCACAGATTTAAAATTACTATCAAGCAATGTAGTTTAGCCTAAATGCCCTAAAGGCACTCACTCCTTAGAAGCTATACATGGTCAGACTTAGTTACTACTTGGATGAGAAACCACCAAAGAATACCAGATGCTGTAGGAGCTGTGTTTCAGAGGAAGGAACTTACAACACCACCTCTGAGGATTCGTTGCCTAAGAAAATCCTATGAATTTTATAAACAGCATAAGCTGACAGCCAACTTGAAGGTACTTGCACAGAGGTTTGTTTTTTTGTTTGTTTGTTTGTTTTGTTGTGTCAGGAGCGACTTGACACTTCTGGTGTGAGAGAATTGGCCATCTGCAAGGATGTTGCCCAGGGGACGCCCGGATGATTTGATGTTTTATCATCCTTTTGGGAGGCTTCTGTCATGTCCCCGCATGAGGAGCTGGAGCTGATAGAGAGAGCTCATCCGCCTCTCCCCGGATTCGAACCTGCGACCTATCGGTCTTCAGTCCTGCCGGCACAAGGGGTTACCCACTGCACCACCAGGGGCTCCACTTGCACACAGTGTAAATGTAGTTTATTTTCAATGCAGTACCATAGTTTTTACACCAGAGGGAACTCAAGATTGTGGAACCATGGAGATTCCTGCTGGAGCAAAATAACCAAGTTACAAGCTTCAGCCTTTCCACAACTACAGCTCTGTCAATGCTGTATTTCTAAAATAAGAACATGCTGATATTCAACCATGCCTTGAAGCTGCAAAATATCCTTTGGAGCCTAGTTATCATAAAGAGGACCACTTACAATGTCTGGAATTCATTTGGGAGGAGGAAGAGAGCACTAAGAAATTTCCAAACACTTAGAGCTCTTCCTGACAGGCCCTATATCCCAGGACCTGATCCCAGGTTTTCTGCTTTAAACTGGGCTTTATGAGTGTGCACTGCCAGATAATCTGGGATAAACAGAAAACCTGGGATTAGATCCTGGGATATAAAGCCTGTCTGGAAGGGCCGTTAAGCTTGTTCTGTAGAAATCATACATATTGCCTCTAAACACAGAGGTTTTATTAAAGCTCAGTCATCAAGGCTTACTACCATTACAATAAAGCTATCTGCCTGAATAAATTGCTGCTGAGTCTCTTCAAATCGTTTCCACTCGTGTTTACTCTAAGATGAACCTATCACAGGGTTTTCTTAATATGATTTTCTCAAAGGGGGGGGTGCCTTTGCCTTCCTCTGAGGGCGAGAGAGTGTGACTTGCCCAGGATCACCCAATGGGTTTCCATGGTTGATCAGGAATTCAAACCTTAGTCTCTCAAAGTCCTAGCCTAGCACTCGACTCACTGCACCATGCTATTTCTCACTGAAATATATCTATAAAATATCATGGGTACTTACAATGCCTCTGCTAGGTGTCCCCCGCCAGGGGCAGCTCCTCTGGGGATTGGCCTCAGGGTAGTTGTACTCAAGGCCTGGGTAATGTCCAGCATTGTGCAAATAGCCAGCCTGCTGAGCCTGGAAAATCTCATTGCCAAAGCACCTGGGACTGTTGTCCACATAATTGGATGGCTCTTGAGGACTGTAGCTGGACAGACGCAGGGTGGCTGACTCATACTGCTGCCCATAGCCATAAGAGTTGTTAAGCTGCTGCTGTTCATTGTAGTTGGTCAAGGGACAGGCCTCGCTCCCAGGGGATCCACCATGCTTGCCAAGGCGGTCCTGGCCACTCACGAAGATGTCACGGTATGCCCTCGAGATGGCACTGATGGCTTCCTCCTCCTGGGCATTGGGGCTTGGTGGTGAGGCATTATCTGTCTCCGGGCTCAGGCCAACATCCATCGGGGTCTCATTCAAGCTGTTCATGTAGCTCTGCATCTCGTCAAGTAGACGCTGCTTCTCCCGCTTAGGGATGCGTCCAAAACGCACAGCTGCAGCAGAGAGAAAAATGGCAGGAAAATCTGAGCACCAGAAGGAGGGTCTGTTTGGAAGAACGATTTAAAAGGTACTAATGGGAGATCTCAAACTGGCTAACTATTTTCACTGTTCCTTCACTGTTGTGGGAGAAAAATCCCTCAATTTCTCCCTGCTGCTCTTGCATTATTGTTAGTAGGGTGGCGAGAGAAGAACAATTGCATGCTTCTTCCATACCAGTTCAAATCTAACTAAAAGAATACAAAATTAGGCACGCACCAGTCAGATCATGGACTCTGCTTTACACATTAGTGTATAGTGCCATTTTTGTTACTTGGAAGATGGGTTTGCTGGGTTTTTCTTGCATAATTCCTACCCCTAACAGCCAGGAACATCAAGGTCCAAGACAACTCCAAATGTCTGATGTTCTTGCAAAGCTAAAATTAGCAACTAGCTTCTCGGGCTTCCGAGAACATCTATCATGTCCTCAGGAGAGCTGCTGTGACCATTAATCAAAGGATACTGCTTGCTCTCCAGGCATGAATGGCTCCTCCCACATGCATCTCTATTGCTCTGGAAATCTTGGCACAGCAGCATAAATCAGCCCAGGGTCCCATTTATCAATTAAGGATTTGCTGACACTGTAACCTCATGAGGCAGCAGCAGCCACTGCCAACTGTTCCTGCCTTGAGTTTTCCCCACTGTAGACACACATGAACAACCCATTTCACCCACCCCCTACCCCTCATTTCTCAGTCATTTGCAGTTGTCGTGCCTTCGGAGAATGTCCTTTATGGTACAGGCTAGCAAACCAGCTTTCCTTTTAGTTATATCATGCTGGATTTATTCTGCTTTGGTCTGATTTCTTTTATTATGACTTGACTGTATCTTTATACATATGTTGCGATTTGTACAATGCCCCAGAGTACTTTGGTTATTTAAAAAGATAATAAATTAATCAACAATAACATAAACAAACCACTTCATCTATCGGCTTGTGAGGAAAAACACACTTTAGTGTACTTTAATATTGCTCAATTAATTCAAGTGCCCCATATTGAAAGCCAAGGGAAGGACCGTCATCAAGAATGCTGAACTGTCAACGTAAAAACAGTCAGCCCTCTCTACATTCACAGCAGTTTGAGGTGCAGAACTCCTGTGAAAGTGGAGGGAAATGTGAATATCTTTAAATCCCAAAGTGTTAACAATTTGTACTGTTGACCATATTTAATACAAAAAGGGCAACACATATATTTTATGACTTACTACACTTTTTTTGCTTCTGCAGTAAACACATTTAATTATTGGTGGCAACCTCATCAAAACTCAGGCACCTTCCACACAGCTGTATAAAATCCCACATTATCTGCTTTAAACTGGGTTATATGGCAGTGTGGACTCAGGTAAGTTCAAAGCAGATATTGTGGATTATCTGCATTCATTTTCTGGGTTATATGGCTGTGTGAAAGAGCCCTCAAATTTGCACAAAGGCAGAGGTTTGATTGCAGTAATTACAGTTCTCTCTGTGACTTCTCATTCATCTAAAGCAGGTTCTGGCCTTGCCCAGGTGCTCACCATCTCTTGACATGCCCACCGCCAGGCACTTCTTGAACCGGCAATGCTGGCAGCGGTTGCGATTCATCCGCATGATCATGCAGTTTTCATTCTTCACACACATCTTGTAGTTGATGTTCTGCTGTATGCTTCGCCGAAAGAACCCCTGGTAAATCAAGTCAATTTAGGGCAAGGTCAGTAAGTAGAAAGAGTCAGCACATACAAGATTAAGAGTTCATACTGATTTTGAATTGTTTAGTTGAATTGAAAACACTCTTTTCCTTGAAATGACACACAAGAGAAAATTTGGCCAAAGAAGGCCTAGTTAATTCTAGGAAGGCTGTGTGTACTGGCCTTCAAGTTGTCTCTTGACTTACACAAATCCATGAATTTTATAGGGTTTTCTTAGGCAAGGAATATGGAGAGGTAGTTTCACCAGGTTCTATTTCTGAAATGTAGCCTACAGCACCTTGCAATCATTTGAGGTCTCCCATCCAAGTTCTAACCAGGGCTGACCTTGCTTAGCCTCTAAAATAATCTGGTACATGTTGCTTTTAGTCTATTTAGACTACAGTGATTTATTCTGCATGAATTCCTGGCAGCCAGTTGGATGGCTGATTACACAGTAGGTACAAATTGTCAGAAGAAAAACACATAACTAAAGCATCTCTTATGTTCCTAGACTATTTTTATGATGGTCATGACCCTGCAATAATTTGCCAGGTGGTATATTTCAGTATACTATTTAAGAAGAGCAGAAAAAGAATCAGGATTAATTACTTCTAAAGTGGCTTGAAGAAGCAAACCAGTTAACACAGTGTTTGCAAGGAAATAAATGTATCACCACATGGTCCAGAAATATACTCAAAACACCCTCAAGTGTGGCGTACTCTAATCCCTGTCATTCTGCTGTATGAGAAGAGAATTTTGGATTAAGTATCAAATTCAGTGTCCTTAGAAACTTAGTTTCAGTGTTTGTTTTTTTTAAAAAAAATAGTAAAGGGAGAGAGATTAGGAGAAGGAGGAAGCTCACCTTGCAACCTTCACAAGCATGGACACCATAGTGGAAACCAGAGGCAATGTCACCGCAAACCTTGCAGAGCAACACCATACCCCCTGTTTCTGTGAGAGGAGAAAAGCATTCTGGTGAGACTTCCACAAGGCTAGATGTTCTCCTCCCCTCCACTGTCCATTAGGAAAACTTCCAAAAGCTTACAAACAATAGCCTTGCAGTTCTGTTGAATTACAATTTTCACCATCCTTAGCCAGCATAGAAATGGTCAGATTTTAAAAATTATCCTCGGGAGAAATGGGCTCCCCATCTCAGGAACAGAGCAAGAATTTTTGGAGGTGGAGTTTAGCCTCACAAATTTAAAATGGGAACAAAATCAGGTAAACATGTTCATCCATTAGCTGCTGTAAAGGTAACTTAAATCAGTGGCAAGCAATTTGTGTCCTTGTCAGATGCTGTTGGACTACAATTCCCAACAGACTCTTCAACCTTGAATGTGCTGGCTAAGGAAGGTAGAAGACACAGGGCTACAATGGCCTACTGATCTTAAAGATACAAAACATTGTTTTATACCTTAAGTCTTTTGAGACAAAATATGTTTTAAAGCAGGCATGGGCAAACTTCAGTCCTGCAGGTGTTTTGGACTTCAACTCCCACAATTCTTAACAGCCTCAGGCCCTTTCCTTTCCCCTCTCAGCTGCATAAGCTGTTAGGAATTGTAGGAGTTGAAGTCCAAAACACCAGGAGGGCTGAAGTTTGCCCATGCCTGCTTTAAAGCCTCAGCTAGGAAGACTGTTCCTTCCAGTGTAGCCAGATTGTCTTGGCTTTGGCTTCAGGCTCATCCTCACACAAGCAACTTTCAATACCTTGCTAGGTTCAATAAATGGTACATAATACACAGGAGCAAAAATGGAATGGTCTTCTCCAGGGAGAATCATAGTATTAAACTTTTTTAAAAAGGTTTCAAAACATTCAGAGCATTTAGCATATATAACAGGACATCTGTGAAACATTCTGAATTCTCTGTGGAGTCTTTGCAAAAGTATTCTAAATCCCAAACTACAATCCATTAAGGCGGACTGACATTATTACTTGCTTACTGAGAAATGGCAAAGAAGCTAAAGCAAAAATGGCCATCGTTTGCCAAAAGCCACACAGCAAAGGCATGGTTGAAGGGAGCTTCTAGGTCATGCCATGACTCCAGCTCTTGTAGCAGCCAATTCCTTGTTCATATGTCCAGGTTTCAGAACCTAGCTAATTCTTTTCCATTTATCAAGATGATTAGGAAGAATTTGTGTGTGTGTTTTCACAATTTGTTAGACTTGGTATATATTAATTGGATAGTTTACTCTGTGCAATAGTGGTGAATGTTTAAGGTATCATGTTCAAACTCATCACAATGGTTTCTCCTAATGACCACACCCTTACAACATCATCAGGACCCAGTCCCTGTGAGGTTTCAAGGACTGGGATGGTCTTTTCCCACACGCATCCTGCTGACTTTGCTCTTAAACCAGAGAATGGAGATACTGATGGTGGTACTTAGGTTTTCATCTTTCACTCTACCACTGGCTTTGCTTAGCCTTTCTTCCCACCCCACACACCAATCCAGTTCCACTAAACAGAGAAGGTGGCAGGACCCCATACTACTTACTCGTGAAAGTGCCAGAGGCTCCGTTCTGTTTGGCAGCAGGCACCCTGCTCTGTGTTGGTGGTGACTGGCCCTTGTTGGGGTAGCGAATCCCTTCAGGAAATTGGAAGGCGACCTTGGGCGAAGAAGGGGAGCTGGCCCGCTGGGGTTTGATGGCCCCAATCTCAGTAAGAGTCAGCTCTTCCAAAGAAGAGGGCAGTGAATGTTGGGGCGAAGGCACCAGATATCCATTGGGAGGGCTGCCTGGAGTGGGGCTGGAGCCAGCTGTTGAGCCCACATAGAGTATCACACCACCTGAAGGATGAGAAGGAGCAAGGAAGAGAGGAGAAGATTAGTTCAGGAAATATGGATATGGTGCCAGAAGGTGAATCTAAACAATGTTCTGAGTATCACTTGACCAAAGTCACATTCTTGGTTTAGATTGTGAGTGCTGAGTCAACTAGCAGCAGATGGAAGAATCAAAGACCTGTGATTTCTGAAAGGGCATGTAGTCTAAACCAGCAATCCAACCTTTGGCCCGCCAGGTGCTCTGTATTTCGGCTCCCAGAATTTCTGACCATTGGACAAGCTGGCCATGCTTTCTGGGAATTGGGAGTCCCAAACATGTGGAAAACAAAGAGGAAACCACATTCCACAAGGATGACTAGAGTGCTGTGATTCATAACAACTCACACAAAGGAGGCACATATTGCAAGGGAAAACAGGCACAGACATCTCTCCCCCCACGCCCACCCCTTGCCAATTTGATCGCTCCTCTTGGCCAAGTCTCCACAACCTCTGACCCACCAAGCCCTAAGCAGCCCATGAGGCAGGCAATTTGGCCAGCCAGATCCTCATGATGTTAATGCAGTGCCAGTCAGCCAAGCGAAAGCAAGAAGATTATGAACCATGGCTGGTGGGCTGTATTTGGCCTGGAGAGAAAATCACTCAGACACATGGACACTGTTGTGCCTCTTGTCCCAGCACCTTGCCTATAGGCACTGGCAGCCAATATGCGAACAAGTTGTTCCAGTTCCCCGGCTGCCACTTGGCAGTGATCAACTTGGGGGGGGGGGGGGGGGGGAGAGAATAGAGGAAAATCACAACTTGGAAGAGGCTTGTGAGTCCTGAAAGGACAATGACCTAGTCCAGCCCTTACGCTGCCAACCTGCACAACCTTCCTTGCAAAATCTCCAAGAAAAGCTATTCCGTGGGTCTAGCTGAGTTGCATGTTTCTCTGCCGAACTTTTTTTTTAACAAGAATAGATGCTGTCTCACACTGAAAGCAGTTTAAAAACTCCAAATGTTTTTAACAAGACAGAATTTCACCTCCAACTTTTATTCAACTTCAACCTATGACAATTAAAAGCCAGCATTCCTCATCCCATCCTGAGTAGATACCACAAATATTCTCACTTTTCCAGGAGACTTTTGTGTGCCAATTGCATGACCAACCAAACCTGGCATGTGGAGGTCAGAGAAAAAGACACGGGGAAACTGGCCTAAAAAGGAGTCCCTGTTGTTGAAAACAATCCTACCTCCCACCCCGCTTCTCTCACATCTCCCTGAAAAACCTCTCCTTTGCCATGGCATTGATCTGCAGTACAGCTGGCAGCCGTGCCTATATGGATGAAACCTGTGACAGACTGAAAACACACAGCTTCCATGTGGCTCCAGGATGAAACCAGGGAAACAGCAGGGAATGTGGCCCAAGAAGCACGTGCTGCAGAAAAGTAGGGCAAACGGATGGCACATATACCACGGGCGCAAAGCCCAAGCGGCCATCTGAAAGCCGTTCAGGGAGGCAGAGGCAGTTTCACCAAGCTGTCCCTCCCACACTTCCAAAATAAGCCACTACAGAGGCAACATAAAAAGATTCTTTGGGGTCGCAGCAGAACATATCGACATGTTTACCTCCCTAAGAGTTTGGGGTGGGGGAAGGGGGGGGCCGCTTGATAAACATTCCTCTGTGCTGTCAGATATCAAGAAGATAGCCAATCCTGAAATCAAAGGGTTCAGGATGATGTTCAGACTGTGCATCCAAACTAAGTCAAGCATTATAGAAAAGCCTGCTTGACAAAATTAGGCAAGGTTAGTTCAGGTATTAAATTGTTTGTTTACTGGTCTAAGCAACTAAAGTCCCACTCTGGTGGTTTTCTGTGTAAGCTATAATAACGAAAAAGACCAAGTCAGTTTGTCTGTCCATTGCAGTATTTTTGACTGGTTGGAGGCAACTCTCCAAGGTCTCAGAAAACCTGCTCTTGAGTTGTCCCTAACTAGAGAAATTGGGAAATGATTCTATGTCTATGACCTTCAAAGTGCAGACCTAATGTCCAGCCACTCAGTAAAGGTACAACTTGGAGAAGTTACTTTGTTGAAATATACCTTCCAGGGGAATCTGGGAGTTATAGCCCAACAAAGTAATGGTTTGAAACATCCCTCCGCAACAGACAGCTCTCTTCTAAACCCAGCTTTAAGTCCATGATTTTTCTGACCTTCATCCATCCAAATGTGGGTTGCCACTTTCCTTTGCTACTCCATTCATCTTGTCCCCTGGCTCAGCTCACAAGCCCCAATGTGGGATATATTCAACCATGTTCAGTGAACCACACAGAAACCTAGTGGAAGTTGCACTCCTGCTTACCCACTTCCCTATACTTTGCCTTGTGTGCCTGCACTTGCACAACAGATACAAATCCACATGTGACCTACATCAGGAACAGAGATGTGTTTTCCAAGCAGCATCTCCACACTCTTGTTCTCTCTGTCTTTCGGTGACAGAATGAGTTTAATTTGCCGCAAGGACCAATCATCATCACTCAGCTCTGTCCTGCAAAACTCCCTGCTTTCAAAAACATGTGCCAAAAATAAACTGCCTCTCTTTTATATTTTTTCATGGGCATTGTGAGGCTTATAAGGGCAACAAAAGCTTGTTCAGGCTGCAGGCACTGCCAGCCTTAAAATCACTTCTGGCCTCTGGGAAAGTGGGCTGTACCCAGCACTGAACATACCCAGTGCCCTTTGCCAAGAGAACATCCAGTTTGAGATATATTCTGTCAATTCTTGCTCTAGATCATTTGGTCTTTGGCCTAGAACCAGGCGATCATAAACTTTTGGCCTTTCCAAACTGAGAAAATAATTGCCCAAATGAAACACATACGCACAAGATTCAATTTGCATATGCTCACTCCTAGTCTCAGCAAGTACCTCAATGGGGGCATATTTTGATATAAATTGCCATTTGTGCACTTTTTTTAATCATCCAGGTGTCCCCTGGGCAATGTCCTTGCAGACGGCCAATTCTCTCACAAGAGAGGTCGCTCCTGACACGACAAAAAAAACAACAACTTTTTTCATGTCAGAAGTGACTTGAAAAAATGCATGTCGCTTCTGGTGTGAGAGAATTAGCCATCTGCAAGGACATTGCCCAGGGGATGCTCAGATGTTTTGATGTTTTACCGTCCTGTGGGAAGCTTCTCTCATGTCCCTGAATGGGAAGCTAGTGCTGACATAGGAGCTCACCCCACTCCCAGGATTCGAACCACCAACCTTTCGGTCAGCAGTCCTGCCGGCACAAGGGTTTAACCCATTGCACCACCAGGACAACTATGGTGCAATGGGTTACAACTGACTTCTCTTCATTTCCGGCACTAAAAATAAAGCCCTGGGCTCTGACTGCTTTAATTCTAAATTGATGTATTTTGCACAAGGCTCCATCTTAGGGATCTTGTGTCTAGAATAGAAAAAAGTACAACCCAGAGACCTGAAATATGCCCACATCCCCATTCAGGAAGACAGTGCTTTGACCTAAAATCAGATTCCTATGCTAAAAAATGAAGCGTGGGTATATGAATCACACATCAGGTTTAATCACTTATTTTTGGCAGCTCCAGTGGCCTAGAAGTTTTTGAACAGAAGGGAAATGGAACAGCCTAACTGATCAACAGTATCAACAGCAAAACACATTGTTTATCAGACTAGATAAGCCCATATTTCCTCCCTAACCCTCGGGTGCTTGGCATGCTTCAAACTACAGACACAGAAGGGAGCAGAAAACACAAGACTCTCTATTATATAAACAGGGCAATGCAGATACTTGAATATGGGTTGCTCACAGCCACACTATGGTTCTGCTTGCTTCTAGGTACTACAGTAACGAATGCAAGGAAGGATCTAGAATGGTGCCCTAACCATTTTTAAGATATGTGGGTTTTTCCCCCATATTGTCAATGAATACCGCCTTTTAATTGACATGAGAAAAGCCTCCCAGAAGGATGATAAAACATCAAAACATCCGGGCATCCCTTGGGCAACATCCTTGCAAACGGCCAATTCTCTCACATCAGAAGCGACTTGCAGTTTCTCAAGTCGTTCCTAACACGACAAATAAAAAATATTCTTTATGTTTTGGTGATGTTACATGGAAACCGCCCTGAGTCCCTCTCGGGGAGATAGAGCGGTATATAAATACAATTTATTATTATTGTTGTTGTTATTATTCTCGCATGTCCCTGCGTGAGAAGCTGGAACTGACTGACAGGAGCTCACCCTGCTTCACAGAGGCATGGCAGTTCAAACCCTTGCATTTGTAGTTTGTTGAGGCAGCACTCTTAGTGAGAGAAGGCTCAAGACTGTCAAACTGCAACTCACAAGTGAGTGGTGCCAATGCCAACATGCACTGCTGTGTTCCCCAAACTCTGGTCTTTCTGGACTTCAACTCCCAGCATCCCCTGACTATTGGGCCAGACAGAGGATGCTTTGGGTAACTATAGTCCAAATTCCAGCTGAAGAGTTTGGGAATCAGGGCTTTTCTAGAGTTGCCCCACTCTTGGCGCGGAAAGTGTGTCAAGGAGCGCCGCAATCTCCTGTTTATTTTTAGCGCCTGCAGAAAAGAAAAGACTAGGGAGGGAGTGGGAAGGAGGGGCTCGTGGAAAGCGAGGCTGGGGAGGAAGAGAGGGAGGGAGCGCGCGCGGGGGTTCTCGGTTCCCGCGCGCTTCGCCTCCAATCGGGTCAGCGGCTCACGTGTCGGGCGCCTCGCGCTGCCTCTAGCCGCGCGCGCGCGCCAGGAACAAGCAACGTGCTGGAGGCCCGCCAAGGCGGCGCGGAAGGAGAAGGGGGACACCTGACTGGCGGCTCACATGGCCCGCGCGGCACAGATAGGAAGGCTCGCGCCGATGCAGCAGCAGGAGGAGGAGGAAAAAGAGGAGGAGGAGGAGGAAGGCGCCTTGGCACGCGAATGGCGAGGCCGCGCGTAGAGAGAGGGGAGGGGGGAGCATCTACACTGTAGAATGAATGCAGTTCTGACTCTGATTGAA